GGCCTGCTGTGTTCATCCAGCTCTACACCTGGTTATCTCAGATTTTCCAGCATCTGCAGTTCCTACTATCTCTGATAGAGAGTTAACGTTGAGTCCAGTTGTAAAGAAGGCACATGATCTCAAAACGTTAACTCTGCTTCCTCTCCAGATGCTGCAGAGTTACACCAGAAATGTGTTTTTGTTTGTGACTTTAAAATACTTTCGTGATGGACTTCACCATTTAGAGACATCACAGAAAGCAAATTAAATTTCAATACGAAGAAAATAAAGAATGAGCATATTGTGACAATCTGATTAAGCAGCTCTGCTTAAGGTGCCCATGTTTTAAGAGTGACCTGGTATTCTTACATCAGTTCCTCAATGGACCTTTTATTGTATTTGAAGTGCACTGAATTAGTTTTATGTAAAATGTCTTCCTTTGATTTCCAGAAAAAGCTGGCATTTCATTTACTTCAGCTTAAATATTTAAAATCATTTTCAACTTTCCTTGCAAAATGAAGATCTATCAGCCAGTATTTACTCACATCTCATCATTTTGCACACACATTGATGAAACAGGACACAGCTAATAGCACTAAAAGACCATGAGCTCCACAAATGCAACTGTATCAGTTTTCATGTGGGGGTGGGGTGGAGAACACAATTGGAGTGAATTTTAGCATATTCCATCTATATTGACAGATGCACTCAAATTATCTGCAAAGATAGCAGTTCTAACCAACCTCATGTGCCATTTAATTCAAATTGCTCTCCAGCCCAATACTATGACCTAGTCAAGTTCGTGAATAAGAAAACGATATGAAGACGTGTGTTACTTTCTGAAGAAGACTCCTGACCTGAAACATCAACTTTGCTGCTCTTCTGATGCTCCTTGGACTGCTGGGCTCTTCCAGCTCCACACTGTTATCTCTGACTCCAGTATTGGCAGTTCTTACTATCTTTGAATGTGTTACTTTCAAACTGATTATGAACAAAGATGTACTTTAGATGTTGTGTGTGCCTATTGCAAGCTAATGTAATGACTTTTATCCTGTTTAAAAATCAGAACCAATATAGATAATGTATTGCCAAATTACTTCATGTCTAGAAAAGATGTTAAATGCTTGAATCTGTGCGTCATATATAATATATTAATCAACGTCACTCTTATTGATTGAGCCGAGCAGGAATTAAACATACCAGATATCCCACGAGTATTAGTATTCTGGTATTCTGCATAGAAAACAGCTTTTTCCAACATCCCAAGAAAAATAACTCCAGCTATCCAGAACTGGATTCTCAATAGGTCTTTCCAGTAACATGCAGACCAGAACAACCACAGGATGCCATAAATTATGTATAGGATGCACATCACCATATAAAACTGCAAGAAGAACAAACACACAAAATTTGAAACAGTATTTAATGTCAGTGCAGATGACCAAAACAACAACAATATTTATATCTTCAACAACAGATTACACAGAGAATTTAGCAACAACCCCTCCCCACACCAAAAATGTCTGACAGGACCCAGCTGTTTGGTCAGAAATATGACAATACTGAGACTTGAAGAGGAATTTTGTTCTGTCTTGTCTCTTGCAGAGAGGTGTTGCCAGTGCTGCTGGAATGTCTGCTTCAGAAGGTAAACAGCTTTGAGCTCCATGTGTGTTTCTTTTAAATTACTGAAAAGGCTTGAGTGGGTGCAGTCAGGTACACACAGACCCAGCGTTTCAGTTTTGCTTTCAGTGGAAGCTGGTGTTTTTGGAGTTGAATGTGATAAAATACAGCTCTCTCTCTCTCTCTCTCTCTCTCTCGGTGCTGCAGCAAAAAAGCTTGAATTCTCCCTCTGCTGCTAGATTGTTTTCTTTCTCCTGGATTGGAGATAGCTCATGTGAAAAGCTTTTTTGCTCAATTGCATTTGCCAAGAGAGTGCGTTAATAAAACACTGCTTTATAGAAACAGTTGATGACTAATAGTTAAATAATACTATTTTATGAAGCATTTCAATAGAGTTAATGTTATGCAAATTCTTCTTTTTTGTTTGTATTTTAACTGTGGTGTAAGAATAAAGTGAGTTTTGCTTAAAGCCTAGTCATGAACCAATCAAATTATCTCTGGAACACCGCACCTTACATTTGCCTTTAGGCAAAAGTTAGGGTCTAAGCCATCTCCTTGAAATATTTTGATGGAGTCTGGTCTGGTCCATAACAGAAAACTAAAAGATGAGGATGAGAGTTGGCAAGCCATAATGAGCTGAGTCTTGTGGGCTCAAACATTTAATTTCTGCATCAGTGATTTAGAGAAAGACAGAGTATTCTAGTTTGATGAAGGTACAAAGCTGGGTGGAAATGTGAGCTGTGAGGATGCAGGCAGGCTGCAAAGACAGGTTAAGCGTGTGGACAACAAGACGCCAGACAGACAGAGTAATTATGTGGGGGGGTAAGCTAATTCACCATCTCCAGTCTAGGTCATGGGTATAAAAAATCAAATAATTTTTAAAAGGAATCAAACGTGTATATGTTAATATAACAGACTTGGGTGTGCTCATGCAAGGATCACAAAGAAATGATCATGCTGGTACAGAATGCAATTAAGAAGGCCACAGCACGTTGGTCACTGCTGCAAGGGGACTGGAGCACAGGAATAAGTCTTTCTACAGTTGTATGTGGATTTAGTAAGAACACCCTGGAAACCTGTGCACAGATTTAGTCTCTGTATTTAAGAGAAAAAAAATCTGCATTGAAGGCAGTAGGTGTGAAGATTCACCAGATTAATCCCTGGGATGAAACAGTTGGCCTACGATGAGAAACTGTCTGATTTGGACATATAATCTCTAGACTTCAGAAGAATCAGCGGTGACCTCACTGAAACAAAGATTCTGGAGCAGTTTCACACTGTAGACACAATTTGTTCCCACTGACAGGGGAATTTAAAATACCCATTATCTCAGGGTAAGGACATGATCATTTAGGGCTGCACTAAGGAGATCTTTCTTTAATGAAAGGGGTAAATCTTGTGAATTCTCTATCCCATAGGATTTTAGGATGTTTATTGTTGAATTTATTTAAGGCTGGGACAGATAAACTTCAGTCTATTGAGGAATCAAGGGGGATGGGGAACAGACAGGATCATACTGAACGATTCCACAGGTTCTTACCGCACTATAAGTTTAGGTTGTGTGGCAAATAAATAACACAGCTGGATTCACAAGGGATTGGAACACCCTTTACAGATTGGTTACTGCTTACTTGTATTAAACCAAAAAAACCAGGTGTAGTTATTCTAAACTGAGAATAGATATGCAATACTTACAACCATAAGTGGAAATTCAGTTGCTGAGATATATCCATGGGAACCTTGCATTAACACTCGCACTGCAAAGATACTTCAAATGATTATGAAATTCCGAATGAGTAAGATTACTTGAAACTAATGAAGTCTAACTTCTGGCTAAAATTCTTTTCTAAACAAAACATCACATTTCAGAACTAGATCATTGAAACTACTGCACAGGAGACCATTTAATTCATCATGAATATTCCAGTCGCAACTCTGATTTCAATTTAGCATGCCGCAGGTAACTCAGTTAACTTTGTTGAAATGATTTAATGATCAGCTAGCTTCTCAAATAGAAAACAACAATCTAAAAGTTTCAGCCAAAAAGTGATATTCTATTATTAGCATTGTCTTGGCTTGAGTGTGGTAACCAACAGGGCACATCAACATCTGCTCTCAGCCAAGAAACTGATTCATGTTTTTAAAAAAAATTGGTGTTTATAAAGCAACTTTTATTTTCTCAGGACATCTCAAAGAACTGTATGTCAATAGTTTAAGTGTAGTTTCTACAGTAATGGGACAGCATTGGATCAGAATGCTTATGCTGCACTGTTGGAAGCTATTTTGTTACAGGAATCAATGGCTGAAAAAAAAAAAATGCCTTATGCAATCTATGCATCTAATAGATATACATTTGTGAGTGAAATTGCAAGAATCGATGAAGGAAGTTATAGCTGGATACTTGGAAAAAAATCTTAATTTCATCGGGTAGAGTCAACATGGCTTTGTGAAAAATAAATTATATTCAGCTAATTTAGTAAAAAGTTTCTGAGGAAACTAAAAGCAAAAAGGATAAAGGGGAACCTGTGGATGTGGTTTACTTGGATTTCCAAAAGGCATTTGGTGAAGTGCCACATCAAAGGTTACTACACAAAATAACCACTCATGGTGGAACAGGCAACACGTTAGCAAAAAGATTAATTGTCTAACAGGAAGCAGAGGGTCACGATAAATGGGGCTTTTTCAAATTCATAATTAATGTAATCAGTGATAGATCCTCAACGATGTATAATAAATATCAATGAACTGGTTGTGAGGACTTAATGTATGGTAGCTAAATTTGATGATGACAGCAAGATAGGAAATTGTCAAAGGAGGTACAATATCTGTAAAGGGATATAGATAAGTTGAGTGGACAAAAATTTGAAATGAAATATAATGTGGAAAAATACGATCTTGTCCACTTTGGCAGGAAAAACTGAAAAGCAGCATATTATTTTAATGGATAGAGATTGAGGAACTTGGAGATACCGAAAAATTTGGGTGCCCTAGTGGGCGAATAGAACAATGTTTATCGTTAGGGGGATTAAACACAAAAGTAGGAGGCTACGCTTCCATTAAATAGGGCACTAGTGAGACTATATCTACACTGTGAATAGTGCTGGTCTCCTTATTTAAAAGGAGCATACAAATGCACTGGAAGTAGTTCAGAGAAGGTTCACCGGACTAATATCCGAGTGGGCAGGTTGTATTATGCTAAGCTTTTATGTGGTGGGGGTTCAGTTAACTCAGTTGGCTGGTTTGTGATGCAGAGTGAAGCCAACAATGTGGACTCAATTCCTGCACCAGCTGATGTTACCATGAAGGTCCCTACCTCATTCCTTCTCAACCCCGTCCCAGGCATGGGCTATTCAGCCACTCCAGAACTCTCACCACACCCCAAATGAAAGGTCATCCTCGAGGGCGGCATGGTGTCTCAGTGGTTAGCACTGCTGCCTCACAGCGTCAGGGGCCCAGGTTCATTGCACCCTCGGGCAACTGTGTGAAGTTTGCATATTCTCCCCACATCTATGTGGGTTTCCTCCGACAGTCCAAAGATGTGCAGGTTAGGCAGACTGGCCATGTTAAATTGCCGATAGTGTCCAGGCTATGTGGATTAGCCATGGAAAATGCAGGGTTACAGGGATAGGGTAGGGGGATGTTCTTCAATGGGTCGGTGTGGATTCGATGGGCTGAATGGCCTGCTTCCACACTGTAGGGATTCGCGGAACAGCCAAAGGAGGAGAGGAAAGTGACCCTTAGGTTAAACTCACTACCAATCATCTCTCTCTAACGAGAGAGCAGCAGTACAATCTTCTGGCACTGTTAATTTTACTTTTGTACCTGTTGGAGCTTAGAAGAGTAACCCCAGAGGGGTCTTGACAGGATGGAGATGGTAAAGACGTTTCTTCATGGTGAATTCAGAATCATAGAATCCCATTGAGTCCTCATGAACCCTCCGTACAGCATCCCACCCAGCCCCCTGCCCTATCCCTGTAACCCTGCATTTGCCATGGCTAACTCACCTAGCCTGCACATCCTTGGATAGTAGAGGCAATTTAGCACGGTCGATCCACCAAACCTGCACATCTTTGGACCGTGCCAGGAAACCCATGCAGACAGGGGGAGAATGTGCAAATTCCACACAGAGTCACCGGAGGCTGGAATTGAACCTGGGGCCCTGGCACTGTGAAGCAGCAGTGCTAACCAATGCCACCATGCTGCCTTGGGGGTAATTGTTTAAACATAAGGAGTTGCCCATTTAAGAGAGAGAGGAGGATAATTTTTCTCTCAGAGAAGTACCATTTGTGTATCGTTGGGATTCTCTTCCTCAAAAAGTGTCAGGGAAGTAGAGTCCTTGAACATTATTTGTGGAAATGTGGAGTCATCAGATCAGCCATGATCTTATTGGATAGTGCAGCAGGTTTGAGGGGGTGAATAGCCTATACCAGTTCCTAATTAATATATTCAGGTGCCATGTCAATCACAAAACGCAGCAAGTGATTGAGCAGACAAATGGAATTCTGGCATTGACTGCAAGGAGAATGGAATAGAAGAGTAGGGAAAATATCCTGCAATAATACAGGACTTTGTTGAAACTACATCTGGAGTACTACAAACAACTTGTGTTTCCTTATTTGAGAAAAGGATACGGCTGCACCGGGTCTCAGTTGTTCTCTAGGGAAAGAAATCTGCCATCTTTAGCTAGTCTGACCTACATGTGACTCCAGACCCTCAGCAATGTGGCTGCCTCTTAATGGCCTAGCAAGCCACTCAGCTGAAGTTCAATTATGAATGGGCAATAAATGCCAACCTTGCCTACAACGTCCACATCCCATACAAGAATAAGGGGTTGCAGTGGGAGCCATTCACAGAACATTCCCCTGACTCATTCGTGGGATGAAGAGCAGATCTTATGAAGTATGGTTGAACACATTGAGCCTCTACCTACGAGGTTTTACAAGAGTGAGAGATGACCGCAGTGAAATGCAAGATGTTGAGGAAAATAGACAGTAAACTTTGAAAAGGTGTAGCCCTTTGTAAGAGAGACGAGAAGTAAGGGGCATAGTTGAAGAATAAGAGATTCTGTTTTTAAGACTGAGATATGGATAGATGTTTTCTCAGAGGGACATCAGTCAGAGAGATTTTTATCCTCAGAAAGCAGAGATGGCTGTGTCATTGAATTTATACAAGACTGAGTTAAGTAAATTTTGAACAGTCAAGAGCATCAAGAGTTAAGGTGGGGTAGACAGGAAAGTAGAGTTGAGACCCCAACTAGATCAGCCATGATCTTCCTGAATAGTGGTTTTACACTCCTTTGTGTCTATTAATTTGTTTTAAAGATGACTTTATTGGTAAATTTATGGCTCTTAAAAGTCAAAAACATGACAGTTACATATTGGTTTTAACTTTAGGGCTGGTTAGCTCAATTGGTTTCATAGCAGTATTGCGTTTTTGTTGAACAAGTCCTGTTTTTTTCACAAAAGTAAATCAATTTGTGACTTAAAGAAACCTGGTTGATGGGTCTTTTATTCAGATAAAGAATATAACCTAATACAAATAAAAAGTGAATAAATAGTTATATCAATAACTGGGAAAGCAGTTAAATTTATATTGTGAAGAATGGATTGGGACTAGTCGGGGGGGGGGGGTGCTGGGGTGGAGGGGAACAGGGAGAGACAGCATGACAATTCTTTGCTGTTGTATGGTGTTCCTACAATGTACAGCTATGATCAAGTCTACATAAACACATGAAGTTAGAGACTTTTATTTAAAAGTCAATCAATTCTCTTTTTAAATAATGTATGTATGTATGTGAATTGAAATTCACCTGTTAAATTCCACTTGCTTTCAATTCTTTCACCAAGAGATTTGATTGAGACAATAAAAAGATATGGACCATCTCTCCAGGTCTGTGCTATAACATCATGCTGTAAAAGAAAAGGTGTCTTGCTTATCAAATAGCAAGAGAATTTATCTGGAAACATTTCCAAACATAAGTACGCTCAGCTTCATGGAAGCTCAAAACAAAAATTTGACGCAAAAACAAAGTTGCTGGAAAAGCTCAGCAGGTCTGGCAGCATCTGTGAAGAAAAAAAAAATCAGAGTTAACATTTCAGGTCTAGTGACCCTTCTGATTTTTTTCTTTCCAGATGCTGCCAGGCCTGCTGAGTTTTTCCAGCAACTTTGTTTTTGTTCCTGATTTACAGCATCTGCAGTTCTTTCGGTTTTTATTTAAAAATTTGATACGTTTTGCTTACTACTGCAATCAAAGGAGGGTATGATATTTGTTCATAAGATGTTAGCATTAGCAATATCAGGTTTGCATAAAATTGAAGTGACTTTAACTTGGTAATATCCACAAGTAATTTGGTACCTTTTTAGTTGTGATGTCTCTTTTCCATAACAAACGAAGAGTCTGAAATTTAAAAAAATGTTCTATTGAACCGCTCTATTAACTGCTGTCACTCAGTCACAATAACATGTTTGTAACAGTGGAATCACTTATTATTATGCAGATATAGTACACCAAGTGATTACATATGTAGAATTACATGGCTATGGAAAATAAATTCTTAACTTGCAATAAAATCAGGTGTTTTCGTATTATATGACATGACAATAAAAAAGTTTTAAAAATTACAGTACCTTATCTTCAGATGCATGAACATGGTCAGTGATCTTGACATCAGAGCTGCTTCCATTCTTAAAACAACATATGAAAGTTATACACAGGTTTACTCAGATAATAGCTCCTGAATAGAAGATACTGAAGTTACACTTCATCTACCAAAATTTTGCATTTACTTTTCCCAAGACTAGAGCAACATCAAAGTTTAAAAAGTCTAACGTGCCTTCACAACAATATGCTAAAGAATATGCTGAGAAGGACATTAAAATACTGTCAATTAAAACCACCATCTGCTAAGTGCCTGAAAATCTTCATCCCTAGTAATTATCTGGCTACACAATTAAAGCCCTCTATTATGTATTTGTCTTTTACAACTAATTTAAAAAAAGCCCATTTCCAAAATTGCTGTCTTTTGAATGAAGGACAATAAATTAATTAAGGATAACAAATTAATTCTGCTCTACACCAGTCAGACTAAACTAACAAATCTTTCACTTGCAATACTTGGAAAAATGAACAGTCACTACCAAATATAGTTGAAAGCAATAAAAAGTTCCTTGAAACTTTGTATTTTAGGAGTTATCAGATTATCACCTGGTTCATATTACATAATTCTGTCTTACACCTTCTCACATCAATTTATAACAAGGCTGAACACAAATGATTTAACATGGGGTTTACTTAACCACTCTAAGATTAAACATTGAGAAGAGTGCAAGCAACTGTTCAGCCATTAAGCACAACTCTGGATGCTGCCTTTGGTCAGTTGCTCACTGATTGGTTGGAAGCAGTGGTGGTGGTTGAGAGTGGGGTGGTTAGGTACAGCTGTCACATAATAAGCATTTCAAGACTTTTTTCTTGTATTGGTATATTGAAAATATCTAAATTTATAACTTAAAAACAGACAAAGCCAGAATGAGTATTCATTGACACAACATGGATAGTTTTGAAAGGAAGTTATTTTGTGTTTGAACATTTAAAACTCCGAAAACATTCTTTTTTTTGTAAAAGCATTACCACAGTCACTGATTTCAAGTTAATTTTCCAATATTGTTTCAATTCTGGGTTAGACGGCAGCAGAAGGAAGGGTACAATTCCACTTGGACAAACTTACTATCTGTAAATGTATTAATTTATAGGACCAGGAGATGACATTTGTTCCCATTTACTTGTGCTGGTCAAAAAGCATCCTACTGTGCTGCGTTTACTCTGACTACTTCAATTCCTCAGGGGAAGTAGTGCAGCAGGTTGTTTAGCAAGCTGCATTCCCCATGGATATCACTGAAGAAAGCTGCACAGCCTGTACTGGCAGCAGTCCTCGGTGCCACCTATGCTCAGGAAATCAACAAGGGCTACATATTCCAGTGCCACATGAATAAACTTCACTCCCATTTTTGTTATTTTGTGAAGTTTTTTTAATTTAAAAAAAGTAACAGTCTAAAACTGCCAAAGTATTTTTAAGGACAAGTTCTTAGAATGTACTTGCGATGGTTTTTTAGAGCAAAATGTTGAATGGTCATCCATGGAACAGGCTATTTAATATCTAGTAATGTTGAATGAAACAGGATTAGTAAGCTCAGTGATGAATCCTCTAAGCAGGGATGATCATAATATGATGAATGTCACAGTATGAAAGTGCGAATCTTAGGTTTGGAATCAATATCTTAAAACACACTCATGGTAACTATGTTGAGACCACAGTTTTTCTTATTTCCCTCATTTTTGGTTTGCAACATCAGCTTGTTTGTAAAAGAGAACATACACTCATATTTGCAAATGGGGACTGGCCTGGAAAGGTTAATTATTGTTTTAAGAACACTGCAGAACTCGAATGGGATACGCTCAAGGATTTCAGTTGACTGAATGTTGCATTAGTCAATCAAGAGGAGGCCAGTGGTGGACAGCCAACCACAGAGAATATTGAAACAGACAAAACAATAAGTTGATGGGTCTTTTGCGCAGAAGGCTGTGTACTTGTAAACTGCTGGACTGAAAAGCTGTACTTTTAAATTGTATTATCACTAGTCTTAATCCATTAAAAGAATTGTTGAATGACCTGAGAAAAGAATCCCAATATACAAGACATAAGCAAGTATCACTCAGAACTTGCTGGAAGCTATTTGCATTAACCAGTAACCTCAGAATTCATGAGATATAAAATCTCATATGCCTGTACAGGCATATGTTGTTCAAGGATTCCTTAAAGATCTGGCATTCATCATTGAAACGGTTAGCAAAACGGCAAATTATAAAACTTAATTTCTTTTTAACTTAACACTTAACTGTCTCTGACTGTCAGAGTGGGGCGTACAAAAACGACCATGTTTAAATTAGATCTTAATTATATTAACTTGGTGTTTAGTTTGGTCATATTAAAGTTCCAGTATTAATAAATTGTTAATTTCTGTTGAAATTATAAAGTTGGTGTCTTTACCTGTTATTGTTAAAGTCTTATTATGAACAATTGGGCAATTTTGAGGGTTATCGAATGTTGTAATTTCACTGTGTTGTGAATCCAGCGTTAGCAAGTGGATGAACCATTTGTGGTTAACTAGGTAAGTTAAGGATAGTATCAAATTGAATGAAAAAGCATGTGGTACGAGGATTAGTTGTTGGTCAAAAGATTGGGGAAAACTTTAGAAGTAAGCAGGTGATTCAAAAAATAATACACAAGGAAAACAAATTGAGCAAGCATGCAAGAAATTGAAAAACAAACAGCATATTTATTCGTAGTGTCCTTACTCTGGGCCAGGAAGCCTGGGTTCAAGACCCACCTGCTCCATGGAAGTGTCATACCATCTCTGAACAGGTTTGATTTTTAAAAAATCTACGAAGAAAAGCAAGTGTTAGTCCCTTAGAGGATGAGACATGGGAATTAATAATTAGAAAAAGAAGGAAATAACAGATTTTAGAAGGGAGAGAAATTTAAAACACTCTCGAGAGAGAGAGAGAGAGAGAGAGAGAATTAGGCAAATGTGACTGGGCCATCAGTCCCCTGGACTTTGTGTGTCTGCTTGTGGGTGGGCACAGACATACATCACTTCTTTTTCACAACAGTCCGTTGCCATATTTTGAGAGTTAAATATTCAGCATCACAAACAGCCACTTTGAAAGCTCCTGTAAGAATGCAAATGTGAGGTTAAAGTGCCAGATAAGTGGTACAGTGTTTAGTATTAAGTCAGGATGGATAGGGGACATCAGGTCCTAGTGTTGCAGGTCAGGTTCTGGGACAAGCGGAGAATGTTAGGTCAGGATCTGAGGTATAGGGGTCTGGGGGAGATGTACTTCAAGAGGATTTGTGTTAAGTTAGGGGATTAGTTTAATAGTACCCAGGAGTCAGACCAGGTTTTCAGAAGTCCTTTTCCTGAGTAAATATTTACTTAACTGCAGAATAACCCTCCAAATTCTGTCCATTTAAATTAGAGAGTCATAAACATATGGTCATACAGCATGGAAACAGACCTTTTGTTCCAACCAGTCTATTTTTATTATTTTTCTCCCCCCCCCCCCGTATTCATTCAAGAGATTAGGGTGTCGATGGCTAGGGAGCAATTATTGCCTATCCCTAATTGCCCAGAGGGCAGTTAAGAGTCAACCACATTGCTGTGGGTCTGCAGTCACATGTAGGCCAGACCAGACCAGTTAAGGATAGCAGTTTCCTTCCCGTAAGGATGTTAGGGAACCAGATGGGTTTTTCCTGACAATCAACAACGGATTTGTGGTCATCATTATATTCTTAATTCCAGGTATTTATTGAATTCAAATTTTACCATCTGCTATGGTGGGATTCGAACCCGGATCCCCAAAAAAGTTATCTGCGTCTCTGGATTAACATTCTAGCGATAATATCACGAGGCCATTGCCTCCCCAGGCAGACCATAATCCCAAACTAAACTAGCCCCACCTGCCTGTACTTGGCCCACATCCTTCCAAATATTCCTTTTTCACATACTTATCTAAATGTCTTTTAAATGTAACTGTATCCACATCCACCACTTCCTCTGGAAGTTCATTCCATACACAAACCACTGTTGACAAAAATTGCCCCTCATGTCTTTTTCAAACCTCTCTCCTCTCTACGGTTTGGTTACGTTGAGAATTCCACAAGGTCTGAACACAGAATTCCCATCTACACTGCAGAAATGAATATTTGGCCATTGGAAAATCCTGGCCTATGTCACAGCAAGGGCAATTAGATCTAAACTATTTATCTCTGTTTGTGTCACTAATTCATTTATCTTATTATAAATGAACACTCAGTTAAAAGAACTTTTTAAAAATTTTGGTACTTTTCATGGACCTTACTCATTAATGTGCTCCTAACATTAAACTCCTCCTGTCACACTGTCTTTACCCAATTTGCTATACTCATCCCTTCTCCTGAGATTTCTAAATCACCTTTCACCTGACTCCTACCCAATCCACATCATTTAGGTTAACATGAAATCCACAGCCCCAGTTATATCTTTAGCAAAATTCTGACCCTGTCCCAGTTTAAATAGAGCCCAGCCCAAGGGAACAACTCCTCCATTCCCTATTATTGGTGCCCTGTGAACAGAAACTCCTTCTCAAATCATCCCAAGTTATGTACTCAATTTTCTAATCTGCTCGACAATACGCCACTTGCAGCCAAATACTCATTTACTTCCAAATGTATGCACAGTAACTTTTTTAGTCCTTACTAATGGGTATGTATCCCAAGTTCCTGACACTACAGTGATTTCATTGCTGAATCCATCAGCAAGGACAATATCAACATTCCCTATGGAGGTTAAGGGTGTCTGTGACAGCATCCTCATGATTTTCATATTTTATTGTTCTTCTCATCATGATTATTATTACAGCAAAGTGTGTTCAAAGTTAAAGTTGGCTACAAAATAAGCATCACCTAACTGTAATACAGCTACGGCTAACATTAAAAAATAATGCCAATTTATTACCACCTTTATATTCGGTGTCTGTACCACCACTGATTTTGGAAGATCGTGGCTCATCTGAAAGGTAAAATTTATATACGTTAGACTGAAGGATAGGACTCAAATTTAAGTAGCTAATGTAATTGAACACTACTTTCATATACTTACATTAAATTTTGGGAAGACCTGAATTTTGTCATTGCAGACAATATTTTCAGTCTTGTGTGCAATGTATTGCCCTTCACTTAATGGGTGAAGTTCAAGATTATTACGAATACCACTGCCAAAATATCTTGAGTCATATGTGTCCTAAATGAAGATCAAGAACATGCAAGAAAACTAGAATGGTTACAAATTGAGTTATTTGCAATAAGGTATCAAAATTTCACTTATGCTCTCTAAAAAATTAAAATATTGGCAGACAAGGATCAGCAAAACGCTGTTTTAAATATTTAAATAAATGGGTCAAAATTAATGTATTTTTGCTAACGATTTTGTAAAAGCAGCTTTTCCTTTCCCCGACTTCCTTTTGTAACATGCTTGCATTGCAAAACCAAAATATTATACCACGGCCAAGGAAGAGCTTAATACTGTAATCTTTCAACATTGAACATTTTGAACAAATAAGGCTCTCCAATTAATGTTGAACAATCCCCTAAATGAAGTACTGCCTTAAATGGGTTTATCCCTTTAACAAGTCTGTGTTGACTTTTTGAAGATGTATGGGAATGAATGAATCTCTAACAAAGCCCTAACCTTGCAGTTAAAGGGCATACCCCTTTATCCAATCTTATCCTTCAAAAATCTACTTTCCAAAAATTAAATAGTTCTCACATTACCGGTTAACATTTCACATTATAAACCTGATCCATTGACAGTTGACAATTCAGAGAAGTCTGATATTCCTTCTTTAAGTTTAATGTCTGAAATAAAATTAAAATTTTCCACATGGGCTATTCACTGATTGCATATACAACATCCTTTTTCCAATGGAAATGTAAAAGCTAAAAAAAAAGTTCTCTATTTTAACTATTTCGTAAGAATACTTACTTTAATGTTATTTAATTCATTGTGACAAGGGGAATACCGGAGGTACCACTCAACTGTTAATGATACATTCTCAGGACATTTGAATGAGACAACTGTGAAGAGGACAAAAAAACAAAGAAACGTTAGAATACCACAAATTGCTTGGTGGTAAAAATGCTACACAAATGCTCAAGGTGAAACAAAAGATTCAGGAAATCAAGCAGTGATGAAATAACAATTCTTACAGTGGTATGTTTTAAGTTCTGTGTCCAGGTGACTTGCACACAAATTTCCCAAATTTGTTTAGCAAAAGTGAATTAAAGTGTAACTTTGAGCAGTAAAACCTCTGTTACCAGCACGCTTCAGAAAAATGGGTGATGTCAGTTAATCAAAACTGTCCATTAACAGGGAGTTACAGTACACCATACACAAGGCAAGATGCAACTGAGGGCTTGAAGGGAAAAATGGAAGCAGTTAGTTGTCAGAAGCCCCAGCACTGTGGGGCATCACAGTAAAACTATCACAACTGAAGGCTGAACAATTGCTGACACCACAAATGACACCACGACCGTTAGACTGGTTTTGTTCAGAAAAAAGAAATCAAAGACTGTTGCTACAAGTGTTGTATCTTTGTTCATGCACAATAATTTATTAACTTATAGGGATTCACACTGTAGGGATTCTATGATTCTGTGATCTATGAACTTCAGTGTAATGCCCCAGAATGGTGAGCAATTAACAGCTACAACACTGGCATCAGCCCCAACAGTCAGAAATGAGGAAAAAATATTGAGAGATCTCAGATAAATGCAAAAATAATAAAGTTGTAATCACAGAATCCGCAGCGTGCAGACAGGCCATTCAGCCCCACAAGTACACACTGATGCTCTGAACCGCATCCCAGCAAGACCTATCCCACTGCCCTATCCCTGTAACCCTGCATCTCCCGTGGCTAATGCAACCAACCTACACATCCCTGAACACTCTGGGCATGGCCAATCCACCTAACTTGCACATGTTTGGACTTTAATTTTCTGAACATTGACTGAGACTACCATAGCACAAAAGGTTTGGATGGTAAAGAATTTGTTAAAGGTGTTCAAGAAAATTTTATTAATATGTAAATGTTCTTCTAGAGAAAGAGCAGAACTTGACCTTGTATTGCATAAGAAGGCAGGGCAAGTGACTGAGATGATAGTAGAGGAACACTTTGGGTCTAGTGACCATAATTCTATTAGTTTTAAAATATTTACAGAAAAGGATAAGCCTTCCATAAAAGCTAAAATTTTTAAACTGGAGTAAAGCAAATTTTAATGGTTTGAGACAAGAGCTTTCAAAAATTGAATAGAGTAGACTGTTTGTAGTTAAGGAACATCTGACAAGTAGGAGGCTTTCAAAAGTGTGATAACAAGAGTTCAGAGTCACTATGTTCCTGTTAGAGTGAACGGTAAGGCTGGTAGGATTAGGGAACAATGGATGAATAAATATATTGATATTGGGCTCCATAGAGGTTGTGAACAAAACTCATAAATCTCTGGTCAGATCCAGTTCTAGTCAACATATTTTAGCAAGTATGCGTGGGTACTTGACAGGGAGAGGAGATTTACAGAATGCTTTCAGCAATGAAGGATTTGTCTTACAAGATTATGTTGGAGAAGCTGGGGTTTTTAATTTTTGAGTAAATAAAAATGTGTAATGATTTGGTATAGGTGCACAATGTTATCTGTCCCTATTCACCTTACTTAAAGAAAAGAATATTGTTATGAAATCCTGCAACAAGAATTCAGGGAGCTGGATACCAGATTCCAAAGGCTGTAATATCTGGATTATTCCTGGCACCACATGCTAGTCTAGGATTGGTGTGTAGAACAGATGAATGTGTGGCTGAAGAGTTGGAGCAAGAGGGAGGGCTTTAGACTCCTGCATCCCAGGAACTGTTTCTGGGGCAGATGGGACTGGAACTGAATCAACAGACTTGTAGAGATTTGTTAGTGTGATTGATTGGGTTTTAAACTAGTTTGGCAGGGGATTGAGATATGGAGTGAAGGGGATGATGGAGGCAAGTATAGAAGAGAAACAAAGTAATTCTAGAAGGCAATGCAAATACAGTTAAGTCAAGGCACAAAAGAGCAAGGGAAGGCTGGTTGACATTTATGTTAATGCAAGAAGGCTTGCGAGTAATACATGAGTTGAGATCGTTCACTAACACATGGTGATATGACATCATTGCTATCACAGAGACGCGCTGGGGAGAAAAGGAGGGCTGGAAGCTCAATATTCCAGAGTTCAGAATCATTTTGCATGAATTTTTGGGAGATGGAAGTGCAAAGGAGGAGATGGTGTTGCCATATTAATTAATGAGTCAAATACTGCACTAAATATATCCAAAATAATCAGGGAGGGACAGTAAGATAGGTATGGAGGCAAATCTCAAGTGCAAAATAATCGGCTCATTATAGGAGATTTCAACTTCCCCGTATCAATTGGGATAGACAACGCGTGAAAAGCTTAGAGATGGAGGAATTCTTACAGTTTATCCAGGAGGGCACTCTATGTCAGCACAGACGAAGTCCTACAAGAGAGGGGCAATTCTGAACCAAACAAGTGTTAGATGTGGTGATGGGGCTGGCGTTGGTGGTAGTGATGGTGGGGACGGGGGGAACAATCAGTGACAGTGCCTATAATTCAGTAAGATTTAAAGTAATTATGTACAAAGAAAGATGGGTTCTGAATTGGTGGAAGGCAATTATAAAAAGATAATACAGGATCTGGCCAAGTGGAGTGCAGCAACTGCTTGGAGAAAAATGCACATCAGAGGAGTGGGAGACACTCGAAAGAGTGAGAGAGAGTTGTGGACACAGAGCTCTAACAAACTACATCAAACTTGACAGCTGGACTCCCAAAATCTCCTGACTGCGCCAACTTGCAAGATACTATGGGTTCAAGCAAGAAGCAACTTGAATGATAAATGGCCCTTTCACAATGGGGTAGTTAATAACAGCTCACATAAGCAGGCAGCAGTGAAGACATCAAGGATATGGGAGAGACAACATACAAAGCTTCAAGATTTACAGAATACTTGAAGGAAAAAGGAGAAAATAACCACCCTATAAACAAGGGAAACAAAGCAAGCACAGACAGTGACAACTGCAGAAAACCACCACAGATGTGACCAGCCATGGTGACCAGGACCCAGTGATTAGAGACCCCTTTGGAGAATTATGGCCATGTTCACCATTCATGGGTAATGCTGAAGGTAGTATGTGAGTCCTGTGCTTTACTTTTGCTTGAATTGTATCAGGAGCTGAAGTTTTATCCGTTAATCAGTTATAATCAGAATAAAAGGACTGTTGAGTTAACTGACTGGCCCAAGTGACCTCTATGTATTGGGGTGCAACAAGTTCCTGTAAAGGTAAAGGTGGGATCAACCATTCTAGAGAACTCTGGATGTCAACAGATGTACACAACTGGATAAGGAACACAAAAGGAAACTAATGGTAGATACCAATGGCTCAAAACAGTGAATGCCTTAGAATACAGACAGTGCAGGGTTTGCTGGAAAAAAATTAGGATAGCAAAGAGGGGCCATTAAAAACATTGGCGGGTAACATTAAGGAAAATTAAAAGGCATCTTATAAGTATATTGGGGCAAGATAATAATCAAGGAAAAACTAGTACTTATTAGAGATCAAAGTGGCAACTTGTGCACGGAGCTGGAAGACTGAGTCGAAGTTTTAAATGAGTACTTCGCATCATATTCACTGCCAAGAAGGATGATTTAAGTAGAGAAGGTGGACTGTGATATACTTGCACAGGATTAATGAGAAGGCAGAGTATTAGTGATTTTAGCAGGCTTGAAAGTGGATAATTCCCCAGGCCCAGGTGAGACGTATGCCAGGCTGCTGTGGGAGGCAAGGAAGGATACTTCAGGGGCTCTGATATTAATTGTCAAATCCTCTCTGGAAGACAGCTCATGAGGTATTATTATATCAAGGTGTACACATGAAAGTAGGGCAGTTCTTGTGATCTACACCAACTTTAGTAAGATTTTTAATAAGATCTTGCACTGGTTAAGATGTTAAGAGCCCATGCAACTCAGAGCAATTTAGCAAATTGCATCCAAAATTGGCTTTGTGGCTGGACAGCGACTGTCACAGGGTGTTTTTGTCCTGTGCCCAGTAGCGTACCACAGGGTTTGATGCTGGGTCCCTTGCTGTTTGTAGTCTTAATGACCTAGACACGAATGTAGGACGTATGATCAGTAAGCATAGATGATACAAAAAGTGGTGGTATGGTAAATAGACTATGGCTTGCCTTCTCACTATCAGCTGACATAGATGGACTAGTCAGATTGGCAGAATAGTGGCAAATGGAATTTAATCCTAAAAAGGTATGAGGTAATACATTTTGAAAGGACTATTAAGTCATGGGAGTACATGATGAATAGCAACATCCCAGAAATTAAGAATCAAAAGGGACCTGGGTGTGCATGTCCATATGCAAAAGGACAGGTAGAAAGGCAGTTAAGAAGAAATATGGGATGTTTGCCTCTATTGATCAGAGTCCTAAACACAAAAAGCAAGGTATTTTGATGGAGCTGTATATAACATTAGCCAGGCTACAACTGTACTGTTGTAGTTCAGGTCGACACACTATAGGAAAGATGTGATTGCACTACAGACAATGCAAAAGAGATTCACCGGGATATTATCTGGGCTGGGGAGATTCAGTTGTGAAGAGAGACTGGATGGGGAGCAGAAAAGGTTGAGAGGTGTACAAAGTTCGAGGGGCACAGACGGAGTAAATAGGGAGAAACTTCTCCCCTTAGTAGAGTGGTCAGTAATTGGGGGCATGGTTTTAAGAGAAGGACCAGTAGGTTTAGAAAGGATTTGAGGAAAAATATTTTCACCCAGAGAGGATAATCCCCAAAGATATCTAAGAATTACTTAGACACTTTAAACACTATAGCACATGAGACTATAGGTCAAGTTCTGAGAAATGGGATGAGAATGGATGGATATTTGATGACTGGTACAAACACGATGGGCCAAAGAGCCCCTTTTCATGTTGTAAAACCCCACACCTCGAGGTCATCGGGTGGAAGGGTCACTGGACCTGATCATTAACTGATTTCCCTTCAGTGATGCTGCCAGACCTGCAGCGGTTTTCCAGCAACTTGTGTTTTTGTCTCACAGAACTCACCCTTGATTAGAGAGTGTCATTGTCAGAAATAGAAGTAAGTCACCATTTTTCTCCCTATCCCACCTTGAAAGATTGTTATGTTTTTCAGGGTAATTCAAGAGTGAAGCAGCACAGTCGCAAAATGTGCACAGGAAAACTTAGCTATTAACCATACTTGGATAAAAGTTTTAGACTTTTACTTCAGAAAAATATTAAAAATATTAATTTGTGTATTTAACTACCATTGGTATACACCAACTGCTTTCAAAAAATTATCACACATTAGGTTCAAAATAAACAACTTACCTTCAAGTACAATATTTGTTTTGTTAAACATTGTTTTTGTAAACACCAGTGGCTTATGGTTCTGAAAAGAAAATTTGAATCACAACCATTAGTCAAAAGTAGCAAAACAAAAACGGAGATCATGCTAATATTCTTCCATGTATATTTGAAAGTTAAACTGGCATTATCAGCACCAGAGTTGGTATATTCTAGTTAAGTACCAGAAACGTTTGTCACCATGATCCCAAAACATGCATAAGCATTCTGTTAGGTTCTTAATGGATACTAATTCATGTTAAAGAAACCAAAACATGTAGTATTCAACTGCCTCAAGATACAACATTAAAAGAAAAATCAGGGGATAAATAAAACAAAACACCAACTTGATACTAAAGCTCTTAAGTATGTTATAGATCCACTTCTTCCTGTAACTCCAAGTTAGGCAAACCTTATCTCCTTTTTACTCATGCACTGTAAGTGAGCTGTTAGCTACACAAGACCAAATTTGCAAGTGCCTTCTATGAGAAACTCCCAAATAAATCAAACTGAGAAGCCTTCTAACCACAACCCATTGCCACGATGTCACATATTCGCAAAATTCTAAACTGAAAAGTAAATTAATTATCTTTTATCTCCAAAACACTTAAATATCAATAACTTAATATTAAAATATCAACAGATTTATTGCACAGAGTTCTGGAATTCTGCGCATGTACAATTGCAAAATGCAATAGGTGTGATCAGAGACTGGCCGCCCAAAAGCAATCCAGCAATTCCTGCCCTGGAGAATTGATGGAGGGCAGTAAGACATGGGCCAAGGTTTAACGCTCATCAAGTAATGCTCACATCCCTTGAATGAATAATTACAAAATCACTTGAATTCTGCATTTTATGAATAATTTATATCCATAAATGGGGTTTACAAGTCTATGCCAGGACTTCTAAAAGTTTAGCTTCTTCACTAATAAAAACAGACAGACTGACTCTAGGGAGGTTCAATGATGGATCATCCATTGTTCACTGTTTATACTTTTAAATGACTTGAGGTAATTTTCTAAACAATGTTCAGAGACATTATGACACACCTCTAGAGCAGATAGGACTTGAATGCAGGTCTTCTGGCTCAGAGGTAGGACACTACAACTGTGCCACAGGAAACCTCTGACTTGTAAGAAACATAGAACAGTACAGCACAGTACAGGCCCTTCGACCCACAACGTTGTGCCAAACTTTTACCCTAAATCGAAGGTCTATCTAACCTCCACCCCTACCTTATACTATCATCCATATGTCTTTCTAATAGCCACTTAAATGCCCCTAATGAGGCCGACTCCACTACCCTCTCCGGCAATGCATTCCATGCCCCTACCACTCTCTGAGGAAAGAACCTACCTCTGACGTCTCCCCGATATCTACCTCCACTCACTTTAAAACTATGCCCCCTTGTAATAGCTACCTCCACCCAAGGAAAAAGTCTCTGTGGTCTACTCTATCTATACCTCTGATCATTTTGTACACCTCTATCAAGTCACCTCTCATCCTTCGTCGTTCTAAAGAGAAAAGCCCTAGCTCTCTCAACCTTTCCTCATAAGACCTTCCCTCCATTCCAGGCAACATCCTGGTAAATCTCCTCTGCACCTTTTCCAACACTTCCACATCTTTCCTGTAGAACTGGTCACAATACTCCAGATGTGGCCGAACCAGGCTTTTGTATAGCTGGAGCATAACTTCACAGCTCTTGAACTCAATCCCTCTATTAATGAAAGCTAACACACCATACACCTTCTTAACACCTTTATCCACCTGGGTGGCAGCTTTCAGGGAACTGTGGACATGAACCCCAAGATCCCTCTGCTCCTCCACACTGCCAAGAATCTTTCCATTAACCCTGTATTCTGCTTTCAAGTTTGTCCTTCCAAAATGAATCACCTCACACATTTCAGGGTTAAACTCCATCTGCCACTTCTCAGCCCAGCTCTGCATCCTATCAATGACCCCTTTGTAACCTATAACAGCCCTCCGCACTATCCACAACTTGACTCACCTTCGTATCATCCGCGAACTTACTAATCCACCCTTTCACTCCTACATCCAAATCATTTACAAAAATCACAAAGAGAAGAGGACCCAGAACAGATCCTTGTGGTACACCACTAGTAACTGAGCACCATGTTGAATATTTTCGGTCCACTACCACCCTTTGGATTCAGAATTGGCTGACCCTTAGAAGACAATCTGCCACATTTGCCCCTATCCCATGCCTCCTTACCTTCTGCATGAGCCTACCATGGGGAACCTTATCAAATGCCTTACTTAAATCCATGTATACCACATCCACTGCTCTACTTTCATCCACGTGTTTGGTCACCTCTTCAAAGAATTCAATAAGGTTTGTGAGGCATGATCTACTCCTCACAAATCCATGCTGACTATAAATACAATGACTATGTACAATAAACACAAATTAACTGAATGTAACCAACCCAAGTTTATTTCATTTGCGTTTACATTAGGTAATAACTTTTTCTTAAAAACCAAGTGATTCCATTTATCATGCATGTAAAACTTTAATTCCTAAAACACAGTTTAATGTAAAATATGCAAATATCCAACTCATAATTCACAACAATGACATTAAGAAAAAAATACAACTGAAGCACAGGAGGTGGCCACTTGGGGAGATGGTGACTTTGTGGCAATTTCAATGGAGTAGTAAACCAGAAGCCCAGACAAATGCTCTGGGGGTATGGGTTCAAATACAGCTGGTGGAATTTAACTTCAATGAATAAAAATCTGGAATAGAAAATTAGTCTCAATAATGGTGGCCATGAAACAATCAATTGCAATAAAAATATTTTGGTTCACATATATCTGTCAGGGAAAGAAATGTATCATCCTTAACTACTCTGGCCTACATGCCACTCCAGATCCACAGCAACATTGTTAACTCTTAACTGGCTTCTGACATGGCCCAGAGACTCACTCAGGATGAAAAAAAAAAGAGCTGCTTCACAAAGTCTGTGCCAGTTCCCTGCAAGAAAGCTAGTCACACTCACTCTGCAAATTTTCTCTCTTCAGCCAATTATCAAACTGCCCTTTGAAAGCCCTGAATGAATCCACTTCTACCATACTCTCAGACAATGGATTCCAGATATTGTATTTCCTCATGTTGCTTTCTTGCTCCTAAGCTTAATATTGGTATTCACAGTTTATCACACTTGTGCCCAGAGGAATATTTCATCTCTACTTCTATCTAGATCTTTGGTAATTAAATAAAGTTCTAACAAAGGTCATCTCAATATTTTCTTCTCCAAGAACAACGTCAGGTTCTCCAACCTGTCCAGGTAACTTGTGGCCCTCATATTTGCAAGATTGGTTGCAAAGATAAAGGAAGTCTTGCACTTATACAATGCTTTTCATGACCAGTAGGTATCTCAAAGCACCTTCCAGCCAATTAAGTACTTTTGAAGTGTAGGCAGTGTAGCAGTACAGCAAATTCCCACAAACAATATTGTGGTAATAACCAATTTGTTTTTGTGATATGGGTAAGATACAAATGCTGGCAGGAGAGAGATAATTTCGTTGCTTTTCTTTGAAGCTCAGCTCAAGATCAAACATGATGGAGAGGTTACTAATTGTTAGCTCAGCCTGAGAAAATGATCAGGATGGCAATAGAATCTCAAAAACAAAAAACCTTGCATTGTCAAAACACCTTAAACACAGAAAATTGTTCCAAAACATAATCAATGAAAAATGAGTCCACATTCTGGGAGGTAAGCAAGTGAAAGGAAGACATTTGGAGTACTGTGTGCAGTTCTGGTCACCCTACTATAAAAAATATACTATTAAACTAGAAAGAGTACAAAAAAGATTGACAAGGGTGCTAACTGGAATTATAGAACATAGAATAGTTCAGCACAGGATCGGGCCCTTCAGGCCATGGTGCCTCCACCACCACCCCTGGCAGCATGTTCCAGACTCCCAACACTGTAAAATAAAATGTCCTTCACATCTCCTTTGAACTTCCCCCCTCTCACCTTAAATGCACGGCCCTTAGTATTACACATTTCAACTCTGCGAAAAAGATTCTGTCAACCCTATCTATGCATCTCATTATTTTATAGACTTCTATCAAGTCTCCCCTCAGCCTCCGCCACTCTAGACAAAACAACCCAAGTTTTTCTAGCCTCGTCTTATAGCTCATAACTCAAACCAGTAACTCAAGTTACAAGGAAAGGTCGGAAAAGCTCTGACTGTTTTCCCCTGGAGCATAGGAGACGGAGGGACGGCCTTATTGAGATTTCCAAAATCATGAGGGGCAAAGACAAGATAGATAGTCAACAGCTTTTCCCCAGACTAGGAGAGTCTAAAAGTAGACAGCTTGGGTTTAAGGTGAGAAGGGAGATATAAAAGGGTCCAGACAGGCAATTTTGTCCACACAGAGGGTGGTGAGTGTCTACATAGGCTGCCAGAGGACAGTACAATTTTGTCATTTAAGAAACATTTGGACAAGTACATGGATGGGATAGGTATGGAGGGATATGGACCAAATACAGGCAAATGGGACTAGATTGTGAAAATTGTGCAGAAAGGCCTGTTTCCATGCTGTCAGCCTCAATGACCCTATGATAAAAAGGTTGAGTCAAGAGAGATTGAGTATACAGATTATCTTAAAGAGAGGATAGTGGAAATACAGACTATTTTAGAGAGAATGCTTCACAGCATCCACACAGCTGAAGTAGCAGCTAAAACAAAAAAAAAGTGGTGCAAAAAGAAAGGGATGCACAGGAGACCAAAGTCAGACAAACACATTTCTGCACAGGGCTGGAGTAGCTTACAGAGTTATAAATAACAAGGCTATTAAATATAGGAACAGGCCATTCAGCCCCTGAGCCTGTTCCATCATTCAGTGAGATCATGGCTAATTTATGATCTAACTCTATATACCTACCTTTGGCCCATATCCGTTAATACCTTTGCTGAACAAAAATGTATCTAATTCAGATTTAAAGTGAACAACTGCGTTTGTGGAAGCGAGTTCCAAAACTCTATCAGCCTTTACGTGTAGAAGTGCTTCCCAAC